TGCGGCGAAGATCCTTGTCGGTAATAGTCGTCCATCCGTTTGTGTCTTGATGGACTTTGAATGCTGAAGGGTAGTTCTTCTCTCTCAGATCATTAATTAATTAATTAGGTTGTTTGTGTACTGCTCTTCCTCGAGATTTGAAATACTGCTGGTTAAATCACTTTTCTGTCTTTAGTGGCAACGCTGCCTTTACTGAGCTGAGAGAGCACCTGTCTTCACTGAAACGGTAGGTCGTCGCGGAACCGCCCCGTCGAACGATGTGTCAAGGTTGCAACGAAGCTTCTTTCTGTGGTGTTTATATATATTAACAGAGGGGTTATCAATCAGCATGGCATTCAATGTTTCAGCAAAATTGAATGCTTCAAATTGCCACTGTTGTTACTTATTTTCATAGTATATTTTCATTTCAAGAATTTATATCGCTTTCTTAATTTTCAGCCTTTCTCTTTCATAACCAAGATGCACATATTTTCCGTTTATTAGATGTTCAGCTCTTTTTGGAATTATAGTTTTTTAACATGTAAAGAGATGTACTTTTTGTAGAAATCGCGCTTGTGCAGGACAACGAAGTTGGCGATGGCACGACTTCGGTGGTTGTGTTGGCCTGCGAGCTGCTAAAAGTAAATTTAATTTTAATTTATGAAAAAAATTATTTTTTTCCTCTGAACCGTTTCTTGTTCAGGAAGCCGAAAGACTCATCGCTTCGCGACTTCACCCGCAAACGATCGTAGCCGGCTGGAGAAAGGCTGTGGATGCGGCTCGCCAAGCGCTAGCTGCATGTGCAATTCCGTCCAGGTATTTTGACGAACCACAAAATTATTTGGTTATAATTATGTCTTATTAACCATTGTATTTTAAGCACAGATTCGGAAGGTTTGTACGACGAGCTGTTGAAAATTGCCAAAACGACCCTCGGTTCGAAGATCGTGGCGCAACACAACGAACTCTTTGCTAAGTTAGCTGTCGATGCCGTGCTTCGACTCAAGGCAATTTTTGTGATTTTTTGCCAGAGCAGAATTTGTAATCGTTAAACATTTTAATCGTTTTAATGTTAATCGTAGAGTCGTCTCCGTTAAACGTTTTGATCGACGCACTGTTCATGGTAGAAGTCAGTCAGTCAGATTTACTTAAATTAACCCTAAGGCATATGATGAGCTGCCAAAGACTTGATGTAGCAAATGAACAAATACAAGACAAAAAAACGAGCAGTGTGAAAGTGGATCCGTATCATTGAGGTCTCCCAAAAGAAGTAGAAACCGAAGATGTTCTCATCGTCCGTGTAATATGGCAAAGTTTCTTGTAAGAGAAGGACGCAAATTTTGCTGAAAAGCAGCATGATGACATGCGTCTTCAGTTAATAAAACTTCGAAAGAATGATCCTTCAGTTTTTGAAAAATACAGGCTTCGGGCGAGTTTTTTTCGTGGCACTCTGCTATTGCCTTAACATTTTATTTTCGGAATACTTTTACAGTTTGTCAGAAAGGAGCGAAAAACAAAGCATCAAGGAACTCAAGGCTTGACACGTGTTGTAAATAAATACGTGCGACGTTGACGTTCATGATAACGTCTGAATCGTAAAGATGGCTGAGTTTTACACGAGACTTCACCACAGTTCCCAGGCCTCCTCCTTTCTCATCCGAGCTTGGGATCCGCAATGGCGGAGTTAGGTAAGGTAGTGTCTTCAGTTTTAGATAACAAATTGTAGTATCATGCTTCAATGCTCACCTTATTGTTGCTGATCTGTTTTGTTTAATTTGGCCAAAGCTGTGTTTTACGACAGTCGTCTCTTCTGCCTAATTGATACTGCTGATTTATTCAGTTTCACCGTCTGCTGGTTCTGAGTAGGATTAACAGGGTTCTCGTTCTTTAAAGTTATCGGATCGATTTCCTAGTGGGTAATGGCGTCATTTATTGTCTGATTGAGTGTTTCACTTTGGCGATTTTACTAGACAACATAGAAGTAAGAAATCTGATGCTTCGGCACTACCAAAGGTTGGTTTCCCGTTGCATATTGGAGCGTTCTTTTCTTGTTTGGTAAAGTTAAACTGAACGATGTCTGTCATTCATACTGTCCGGAAGCACACGTACCTCTGAAGGAGACAGTTCGTATTCAGAAAAGTTGCTCTTTTGCTTGTAGGCTACCGTGAATTGCGCCGTGCGGTGTGGCTATCCCCTTGTTCCCTTGGGTGAACTATGCTTTATTTTTTTTTCACAGTTGTCAGAGATCCCTAGTTAAACGGGGTTGCGCAGTCTGTATAGTGTCTGACTCAGATCTGATACGTCTTGTATTCGAGCCTCTTATGATCACTCGTCATTCTTCGTTCTGAAGTTGACAAATGAGTATTATTCTGTAATAAGGAAATAGGAGAATACGGGCAATGCTTACCTGATATTTGTTGTCGACCTGCATTTAAAATAAGATACTACTGGATAATTACATATTAATGGAGATCTGCACCACGCCATTAACTTCGTGAAAAGAAGTGCGCCAAAAAATGGCCCTATTATGGAAGTGCGAAAAGACTGGCGTTAGAAACATTCTTTTCCTTCGTAATTGGTTGCGTAATTGCCGAATAAACGGCGTTAAATATCACTGTCTTGTAGGCTTCAACAAGCTTTCCACGTGAAAGCGACCGATACGCTTTGTATGTCTGCTTACAGTATGTTATCAGCGTTGGTGCGTCATATGTGATCCTAGTAGACATGTTCAGTGACTTCCTCCAGTTAGTAATCATTGATGACCACTATGCAGGTTGTAAGAATTCATTTTTCATCATTTTTATCATTGTTCTCTTTATCCAAACTCCAGCTTGTTTCCTGTGTAATTTTAACTGACTTAGCATAGCTTCAGGATTTTTTGCTTGACTCATCTCAACAGAAATGAACAACAGTAAAATGCCATAAGCTAAAAGAATACGTTTGACCATTTTCTGTTGGTTGATAAGCCTACTTTCCTTTTCATTTTCGGGATAATGATTCAATACATGCGGTGAACAGCCTGCGCGATATTCTTGAATGATGATTTTATCACCATATTGTGCACTTTGATATGGATTGAGCCTTCGTCCTCTGCAGGCTGAGTGTACTTCATGTAAAATTCGAATATATATTGAAATCCTGGATCATCCAGCGCCTAATAAGGTGCCTCTTGTTCTTTCATGTGAAACAGCCTTTCATAGTCTGCGAATACCAGGTAGATGGCAGTCTGGACACTGACTTTCATTATATAATATCGGCAAATAATGTTGACAACGGGCAATCAATTGTAATCGATTATTTTGTACGTTTTCTAATATTTCTGTTTTTCTCTCTGTATATATGTATATCTTTGTTTCAGGGAAGCGGCAATCTGAACTGCATTCATGTCATCAAAAAGCTGGGAGGACGAATGGCGGATTCCTACCTGGACGATGGCTTTCTGCTTGAAAAGACACCAGGCGTTCAACAGCCGCATAGAATTGAAAATGCACGAATTCTGATCGCCAACACGCCGATGGATACGGATAAAATCAAAGTAACTGTTCGCTTTCTTACACCATTGTGAGTCTGGGCTCGTCGAGTTTTTCATCATCATCATCATGCAATGATTCGACGACGATCACTTGGTGTTCCTGACGGTGTAAAATTACGGTTCTTTCACATCGTTTAGAATGCAGTTCAGGAGTTTCAGATTTTGAAGCTCGGTCTGACGTCAGAATTCTTGGATTTTTTCATTTGACAGGAGGGTTTTGGACAGCTTATAGTTTATATAACTGTTTCCAGTACTCTCGCTTCGTTAGAGTCACTGTACCTGTAGGCAGACTGAGCTTGGTTCAAAATGTCAGATGGCTGTGTTAATTAAAAGATATATTAAAAGATATTTTATGCTTTGTCCTCCCGTGTATAAAATACCACAGCATACGTAAAATAGGTTATTTTTAATTAGACCAGTGATATCATGATTTCTATGAGTACGGTTGATAACCAGTGCCCGATGAATATATACTTGCAACAGGTTTTTTGGCAGCAGCAGATTCAAGTCTATCTCAAGCTGCTGTTATCACTTGGGCAGTATCAATTTATTTTATTAAATTTAAACTTTCTTCATCATTCACCAGAACTTTACTTGCATCAGTTTTTGTCGTACTCCGTCCTTTTGAAAGTTTTTTGTTGTTTTAGTTTTGATTTTGTGTTTGTTTTGTTTCTAAATGTTTGTTTTGAACAGGTTTTTGGATCCCGAGTTAGAGTGGATTCTGTGGCGAAAGTGGCCGAGATGGAATTGGCAGAGAAGGAGAAGATGAAGGACAAAGTCAACAAGATCCTGTCGCACAATATCAACGTGTTCATCAACCGGCAGCTGATCTACAACTATCCTGAGCAGTTGTTTGCCGACGCAGGGGTGATGGCCATCGAGCATGCAGACTTTGAAGGAATCGAGCGTCTCGCCCATGTCTTAGGTGCGTAATCAGATTCTACATTATCATAATGTATAATGTTAAATACTCAAAATCTGAATCAAGCGACGCCATCTGTTTCGTGTTTTAAGCTCTAAGAGAGCGTTGTTATTCTGAAGATGAAAAGTGATGTTATCTGTCTTCACTTATGTTCATGAATCATGGATATTAACCGAAAAATCGTGGTCGAGAATACAAGTCTGTAAGTAAGGTTCTTTCAAAAAATGCTAGTGCGATCAGCCTAGATAATCTTAAGAACGCAGCAATGTCAGCAATCGCGGTGTCACAGTTGCTCATATGATTAAGATGTTGAAAGAAAAATTTTCAAGGCTGTTTACTTGCAGTGTCGCATGGAAAACGGCCAGTGGAAAACCAAAGACCGAATAACTCAGTTACATTGAGGATGTGGCATTGTCGCGTCTTGGGATTTAGCCCATGGAGTTTAACGGATAGCAAATGAAGGACCTTTGCCGTTGGAAGACTCTGAGATTGTAGTTTGCGCAACCCGAATGGAATCGTTGGCTTGGAAAATAAATCGATGCCATATACAATACTTTGACTTGTCGTGGTGCTTCTTGTTTAGGATAAGTTTTCGACAGGACAATTAACTGGTGTTTGTAAATCTTGGAGAGCAGCCGCTTGAATTGGGGAGAAATATTGTCGATTTTTTTTGCAGTAATCGGAGCGGACTCTTAGTAAAGCCACTTCACAGGTAGCCAGAAACAAATTCAGGGGCCAGATTTGTTGGTTATCCTGAGTTGGCATCCTGGCTTGCTTTGCTTTGTTTCTTATGGCGATCGGTGATCGCCTTGTCAGTGTCGCTATTTGCGGCAAACATTTAATAAGGGAGACTGCTTGAAGGTTGCTGTCATTTCGCCAGAGTTTGTGTGGAGCAGATCCCAAATCACCAGAAAAGCTTGAAGCTGATGCTGCTGGTTCGTAAATAGGTGTTCTAAAAGTAAATGAACGATTGAATGAATTATGAAATTCAAGTATGGAATTTTCGAAAGCTGAAAAAGAAACGATGGAATATGTCATCTAGTACGTAATTGACTTGTTAGAGGTTTTACTACTTAGATTGTAATTGTTTGATATGCCACGGCCCTTGAAAGCTGTGGCTTCGTGATCATGGCGTTTTAACAAATATTTATTTCTATAGATTTTAGTCATATAACATGATCAGATTTCATCTCGTTAAAATCATTTCATACTTTTCGTTTAGGAGTAAAGTATTACTACAGTATTTTCTTTGTAAAGCTCATCCATGTGTTTGTTACTTGTTTAAGGAGGAGAAATCGTCTCAACGTTCGACAATCCGGCAGACGTGAAACTCGGTCATTGTAAACTCGTCGAGCAGGTGATGATCGGCGAAGACAAACTACTTAAGTTTTACGGTGAGTCTGTTACTCGAAAATTTAATGTTGGTGCGGTGACGTTTTATTGTTGTTGCAGTAACAATAATATAATGTTCAAGTCTTTTATTTTGGCTTTTATGCGGTAGAGTTTGCCGAGTACCAGCGCATAGCGTTGCTGTAGCGAAACTAACAATGCGAAATGAATATAATTCTGCGTATGCTGAAATTGGGGGGGGGGCATTATCACAGTGGTGAGAACTTGGTTTTGAATTCCTGAAAAACCAACTTCGAGTCCCGAAAAATTCTCTTTACCGCCAATTCACATGAGAGGGGAAGTCACTTGCGAGGAAAGACTGGTAGCCTTGTGTGGTATTTAGTAATGGACGAAATGTACGGACGTGTCTAATGCAAGAGCTTCGTAGCTCTTCAGTTCGTTGTCGTCCTTATGGCTAGCTGACTTTGCAGCACGGTAAGCAGTACAGGGTGTAAGCCCAATAAATACCATATACCGTTGGCCTGTTTAGGTGACTCCCCGTCCATCTAGGCAGCTAGGAACAAAATTGGAAAACGCTATTAAATTTGGTTTCGAGGTAGTTATATGCTCGTTAACATATACCGGCTTACGAACCTGTATTTAGAAAATATTTTAGCAAAGTAAGGTCTACGGCAACCGGAGTTTTCACGCACTATTTGCCACTGCTTCATGGACTGCATAATATTTTATATTGTGACGCGCCAGTACCAGTACAGGAGTTTAGTTATGATCTGTCGACATTTATTGCCGGATTCCATTCCTGGCTTTTTCAATCTGCGTTTTAGTATTTTCTACATTAGGACGAATAATGGTAACACTTTTTTCTTCTTGATTCACGACCATAGAAAATCTAGTAAAGTCTTTTAATCGCTGTTATCTTCAGAGAGGAACAGAGATTTAAATTTTACCAACAATTCCTGACAGCGCTTCCTTGATCTTGTGGACAGTTTGTAGCCTAGCACCATGTGCCATCAGAATCATTCAAAACAGGTCAAGACTTTGGATTTCTCTCTTAAACATCCAGCGCTCCAGTTGCGAAAGCATACATTGCAATTCGGTTTTACATATGCCTCTTAAACAAAGATAGACATTCACTGATATACAAAGTATGGGTATATGCGACCGGCGTGGTGTATAGTACCTTGAACATTTACTTGACTATTTACATTTTTGCTGATCAGCATCTTTTAAAGTTAGTTATTTGATAAGTATCTGGAAAAGGTTACCACTGTCTCGTTAGCCGACGGTTTTTGAGTTCTGTGATCCTTTACATTTATATTAATTAATCTTGCCTACATCGCGACATGGAGACTAAAGATTAAAGTAATTGTTTGTTTAGAGCTGAAGTTGGATTAAGAATGTTTCTAGCTAAATTCTACCTAAAATGATCTGGCAGCTTTTCAGAGTCAAATTAATATCATCTTTATATCAAACAAAAGCAGCCCGTTTGTCTGCAGCAGTTTCAGTTTTTTAGTGAATTTGTTCAAGTAGTTGTCTCTGTGTACTTTCGTGATTTGTCTTATTTTGTATGTTTAGTTTATTGCATTCTTTGTTTATAAAGTCATCGATTTCAATGTCTTAACGTCAGTTTCGCATCTTTCAACGGGAAATTGGTGTAAGTCCTCAAAATGGTTCTTCTCCAAATTTGCTCTTTTTTCTTCGTTTGGTTCTGTAGTTTTAAATATTACTCCCTGTCACTTTTCTCATTTCCATCATTTTTCTTTATATCTTTTAGTATGAAAATAGGTTTTCTGTACGACTTCATACACAGATAATGTTTCGCATGAGTTATTATTCGGTTCACCGGTTTGTTGTCTATTCGAACACCATAACTTGCCGTAAGCGTCTCGTTTTCTTTGTTCTTCATACTGTACGAGACCGAGAATGTCTCATATTGGGAAAAATTAAAAGGTTGCTCTGAAGTCATCAGTCATTTTCCAGTTGACACCTATCGATAAGTGGGAATTCAGGTGTGGTATAAGGATTTACTTTCTGTTCATGTCAGGTATTGTACATAATCAGAAACAGAGACCAGTGAATAGAAGATATACAGAATGTCGTAAATCTCTGCCATATTTGATAAGATGTAGGTCTACATTCTCATCTAACTCTTGATAGATCTTTCTTAGAGCTTAGCGTCCGTTTCATACATTTTTTTGGGAGTCAAAAGGAGATATGAAGCAAATGGAAACTAAAGATTGTAACCATTAAAAAGTCAGTCTTCCTTGCA